TTTTCAAAATCCATATTAAATAGATCATTAAACGTGACTATTCGACAGACCTTTAGGGCATTCGATGTTCAACTGTTGAATTAAATCTGGATACAACAACGGATAACTAACGACTTCGTAGAGTGCTTTATAAGCTTGTTCCAATCCAGGAATAGCTTCGTTGGAGCTGTTTTCATTCAATTTCATAGCCTCCAATGAAGAAGTAATCGAATCAAGATCGTCCATGTTACTTAGATTTGCATTGACATTTTCTTTATCGAATAAATTAATGTTTGTGTCCTTTGTGAAAAATGATAAGGTATCGGAAGGGGACACATCGAGGATCTAATGATTGTTGAAGACAAAAGCTGCGCAAGACGTCAAAAGAATCTTTTATTCAGATTTAGCATGACTATTGAAGTACCTCGATCTCTAGACAACTCCTTTGATCAGATATCACAAATCCTTTACACACAGGCATACCCTTTAACATACTTCTCATCGTCTAATAAGTGCAGATCCGTTGTTCACTATTCGTAAAAAAAATAATGATAATGATAATAACACTTCTTGAGACAAAACACCGTCTAACCTGGCGCCTGACAATTTCCGAACCATTATTCCAGACAAAACCAAAATCAAGAAACTGTCTCTCTTCCACATTCTCTTCATCAACATACTTAAACCTGATTATTAAGTTAACATCGATGGCGCTCTGTGACCGGCGTTTCAAAGGTATCAGAAAATCTAATGAATCAATTTTTACATATTTTTTCCTGAGAATTCTTAAACAAGTTTTTTTTTTTTATTGAAATTAAATAAAAGTTTACATTCTATATCTTACATGCACGATTATACAAAACGTTGTAAATAGTATTGGTTTTTTTTAGTAAAATGGAACTATCTGCTTGAATTATGTTTTCGGGTATATTTGCTTGCCAGATACGACATAAAATTGACTAAATAGAATAATTTACATTGTTAAACCCAACAATAACAAATATCCGAACACTTTAAGTGGGAATTTTCTTTAAACTAACCGCCTCTCCGGAATCTAAGCGAACCCATTGACCCTCAACAATATTTCGTTTCTCTAAGATAATTTTTGATACCCTGCAATGCGCCTTACCAATATCCACGGGAGCCGGTGGTAATAAAATAAATGTTTTTTCTTGTGGTGTGGCCATTCTGTGATGTAAGTTAAAAAAAAATTAAAACCATCTGATGACGATCACCCGAAAATCTTCTACACGCCACCGAAGAACCAAAACCGGTTTTTTTCAAAAAAAAAAAAAAACGGTCTTTAACTATAAAAGTTAGTAAAATATTGTATAATTATATTATATACAATACTTTCATATGTATGATGAATAATCAGTGTAACAGATCCCGTAACCGTTCTTACTAGAAGAAATATCCACATCATAGGAATATTCTTTAGTGCATAAGGTTCTAAACGAATGTGTCTGGGCAACACAGAACTCGTATGTAAATAAGCTAACCCAATATCTCCTGAAATTGACTATTGATCACCAGTACGACTTACGATTCTAGATAGATTATGGAAAATTGTTTCCGCACAACTAAAAAGGTAATGAATATTACCAAATAAAAATTATCGCTATTTTACATATAAATATTTGTATCTGCTGAGTTACCCTCCTAAATTTTTACTCTCACTGCCAATGAATTCTATTGTTAACGTTGCCAGATCTGAACCAGAAAAAGAGGCCGAAGAACGTATTCTTGCAGAATTTGCGAACTTAACCAATGGAGAGGTTTATGATCAACTAAAAAAAAGGTTGTTAACCTTAAAACGTGGTGTTAATGTTGTGGGGGGTTCGTCGGATTATTTGGCGTCGGACGGTTATGAACTTCTGACTTATCTACTACAGAACACACTGCGAGGAGTAATCGATTCTTCGCACGAACATAATAAAGAAGCCCATATTTTAGACGTGAGTTCTGGTGGTGGAGAGATTATAGATTGGTTTTACGCTCAAGAAGTCCATAGATCTACTCACCGAAAAAATTATAATATGCACATAATCGAGACCAATAAAAAAATAATTGAATCATATAATGAAAAGGTGAAAAAGAACGCTTTTTTGGAGTTGGAGAATCATGAAGGAAAAATTCAAGATTGCTATAAATCCACTTCAAAAACTCGACCAAAATTTCAAAAACCCCTCGATTTTGTTAGTTTTATGCATGCAATTCATCATTTGTGAGTATATATTCATCTTGTACATTTTTTTTAAAAAAATTTTTTCTGAAAAAAAAATAACTTTTTTTTCTTCGTTTTTCTTCTCTCCAGGACCGACTACACTAGCGAAGACTTTAATCCATATGCTGACATCACCAATTCCTTAAAATATATTTATGGTCTGCTGAAGCCCGGTGGTGCCATATTCATAGCTTACCACGATGCGAGTTCCGAATTTATCTCAACTAATATTGATTACCACAAAGAACGGCTTTCCAGTTCAGCGATTGTAGAAAGAGTGAATAAGACCATCAAGGCACGTGAAGAACTTTTATATGATGGTGCGATCCTTGAGACTCTAAGAAAGGAAGATTCAAAAACAATTGCGAAACTTGAATCTCATCAAATATCCTCTTCTTTCTATGCAAAAACTTTGGCGGATATGGCAGTAATAGGATTATCGGGTGAATTGTTAAAAACCGATAATGAAAAATTTGATAATGGAAAGTTAAAGTATCTTCTAGAGAATATTAAAAATTCTGCTACGGCGGATGTCCGTAAAGGTGAAAGGAGAAAATACGGTTTATGTAGGGCTGAACGTGGAAGAGAAGCCTTGTGGAGGGTTGAATGTCCATTATTTATTTGCATTATCCGTAAAGAGATTGTCTAGAGTTAGATTAATAGCTTTCTAAGGCGAAATGAGTCTCATTAGTTTTATTGCACACTACCAAAAATAATATCAGCTTTCTATTTATGAGGATGTAAAAATGTAAATATAAAGTTTTAAACTTTTTGTTTGATTTAGTGTCATAAGCTCAAAAAAAATTTTTTTTATTTGATGTATATATACTTTATAAAACATATAATAAAGCTAACCTAGGGCATCGAGATGACTCATTCGGTTAATACCGTATAATTGGATCTAAATCCTCTGTAAATAATTTCCTAATAACTTTTGATAGCTCATCTCGATGATCTCTCCGTTAATACATCGAAACTTTTATCTGCGATTCTGTAACCAAAACACTCATGAACGTTTGATTACTATTTTTAGAATGTTGGAATTATAATAATATAATATTTTTGTTTTAATAAACAAGTTACAGTATATTGAAATAATGAAAATACTGAAAAAAATATATTTAATTTGCAACATATTTGGTTTTTTTATATATCAAAGAATCAATGATTTAAATCATATTTATATTGTATAAAATATTCAAATATTTTTCAAATACATAGAATAGAATTTTTTTTTTTTAATAACAAAATCTTATTATTTTTAGTAAATCAAAATTTTAACAATCTATATAAGTATCCAATCAAGAAAAGATTATAACAATTGCACTTTGATTAAGGGTTGGAGATATATCCATAATTAGTCAGATGAATTTTTTTATAATTATAATTTAACAAATTAAAGTTTATTAAGAAAAAGATACAATAAATTATTGAAAGTAAAACTCAACAGATACATGTATAAGGTTTTGCATGGTTAAACTCTAATTTTATTTGAAAAAATTAATCAAAAGTATAAATTTGAATAAGTACTTTTGCTTAGATTTCAACTCTGTTACTATTATTATATATTTAAGAAAAATTATTATAAATTTTTTATTTTTTTTTATTTTTTTTAATTTCTATTTATATCAAAAGCTATAATTAATTTATTATTATTAAAAGATTAATTTATTATTATTAAAATATTAATATAAGATAATTATATCATATTAGAACAAAACTCTCTATATAAATAAAATTTACAAATCATATTATAATAACAAGCTGATTTCTAAATTTAATATATATAAAAATTGATTTTTCAATTATAGCAACCTATCGTTATTATTTCTAATAAATTTATATATTATTTTTAATGTAATTAATTCTAACTATTATTTATTTATTATTTATTTTTTTTAAAAAATATTTAGAGTTTGTATATGTTATATTAATTTAATATAAACTAGAATTAATTTACTTTTATAAAGATTCTTAATATAATAATAATTTATAAAAGTTTAATAAAAATTTTATATTAAATATATATTAAAAAAATATAATTAATACATATTTAATTTTTCAATAAATATATATATTTAAATAAATAATAATATCTTTTTTATTTATTTATATATTGTAAAATATATATTTAAAAAGAAACAATATTTTTAATAAGATGATATTAAAAAAATAATTATTATATATACTATATATACTATATATATATATTACAAAGAAATATTAAATATAAAATAATGTATATACTTAAAGATGGGTCCCTAAACTATTTAGCATATAAAATTTCGCAGATTAATTATGTCCCTTTTGAAGGGACATAATTATTTAT